ATTTTTTTAATTTAAATTTTTATTGAAGTATAGTTGGTTTACAATGTTGTGTTAGTTTCAGGGGTACAGCAAAGTGATTCAGATGTATATATATATTCCTTTTCAGATTCTTTTCCACTATAGGTTATTACAAGATATTGAGTATAGTTCCCTGTGCTATACAGTAAGTCTTTGTTAGTTGCAATAGCTCTTAATATGTCCCTGAGGTTAGTAAATTACAATTTTCACTATACTGCATATTGTAAGGAAAATATGTTCTGTCAAAATTTTTGAGAATTTAGACATTTGCAAAGGAGATTTGGAACATCTTTCTGTAATTACTGTGCACATATTTAATATCTTAGGCTATTCCTAGGGAAGGGGGAGACAGGTAGCAAATGTTTTGTGAGGAAAATAACAAAGCAAAGATCCCATTTTCAGCACGAAAAGCATTTCCTCTGTTCTGTTCAAAAAGATCAGACTCCTTACAAGACTAAGTAATGCAAAGATTGGCTCCTAAAGAGGAGAATTTTCCCCCAGAGTGTGATTTAGGGTTAGCTCTATAATCTAGGGCACACCTTCTTTCAAGGGACGCGTTCTTGACTGCAGAGAATAAAAAATGTAACCGAACCCGACTTTTCTAGCAGGCTCTGGACCCTGGAAAAGCTCCACGGTGCAGCTGGAGAAAAAAAAAAAAAAAATAGGCCAGTTGGCAGCCAGGACTAAGGTTGGTGAGATTAGGGGAAAGGAACCTGGACCAAGTCTCTAAATGGTTCTTCATGCCAAGGGCTGACCAGTGGTCTTCAGTGGCATGCCGTACTTTAGTCAAAGCATCTATGAGAATATTATATTTAAATAAAGCACAGATAGGAAGAGCATTGCTCTGCACCCTGCAAAAAATGCCGCCTGACCTACTATACCGCAGGAGCATAATGAAAATACTTTGTTTTGAATGGCTTCAGCTAGGCAATCTGTGAGTGCATAGCAAGTTGCATGTTGAACTTGAGTTGTGCAAATTTGGAAAACCTTTTGTAAGTTTGTGGAAGTTAGATTTCTTTCTCTTGACAAATGTAATTTTGTGTATGACCGTATGTGTAACATTTTTAGTGTTTAAGAACTGACATACCTGTATACTTTGTTAAAGAGTAAGAAGAGGAAGTACCAACTTTGGTTAGTTCTACTCTTTTTTTTTTTCCTGCTAATTTTTTGTTTTATTCACTAGTTTGTTGTATATTTTTAGATTCCATATATAAGTGATATCACACAGTATTTGTCTTTCTCTGTCTGACTTATTTTAATTCTACTCTTAATAATTAAATCAGTCATTGCTATTTTCCCTTTAGAACATCCTGTGACCTTGAACAGTACTGAGTTCAGTCTAATATGGTCTCCTGGGTAAAAAATTATCTGTCAGTTATCATTGCTTTCAACAGAATCAAAGGTTAGACTGATCAAATGAAATGTAGTCTGGATAATCAGGTTCCATGAATAACTCAAATGGTAAATTTGGTTTTCTTTCGAAAATTAATACTTTATAAAATAAAATTTTATTCCTGAAACTGAGCAGAGTCAACTTCATGCCTTTTAATGATGCTTAAAATGTACATTGTAGCAAAACCCATATTTATCCTGAAAATATGTCAACAACTTATGAAGGGATATTTGCAGTGAATGAAATTATCTTTTTCAAACAATTGTTGAGTTTACATGTGGATCAGCTATTTTGACTGATAAACTCATTCTTTTTTTTCATTTATTTTTTTAATTTTTGGCTGTGTTGGGTCTTCGTTGCTACATGCGGGCTTTTCTCTAGTTGCGGTGAGCAGGGGCTACTCTTTGTTGCGGTGCGCAGGCTTCTCATTGCGGTGGCTTCTCTTGTTGCAGAGCACGGGCTCTAGGCACGTGGGCTTCAGTAGCTGTGGCACGTGGGCTCAGTAGTTGTGGCTTGCGGGCCCTAGAGCATAGGCTCAGTAGTTGTGGCGCATGGGCTTAGTTGCTCCGCGGCATGTGGGATCTTCCTGGACCAGGGCTCGAACCCATGTCCCCTGCATTGGCAGGCAGATTCTTAACCACTGCACCACCAGGGAAGCCTGATAAACTCATTCTTGTTAATCTAACAACAAATAGCTTCAAATAAATATCTGGCTTGATTGAGTTGACTTATTGCTTAAAGCATTTGGCCAAACTGACTTCTTTTGCTATTTAGTTGTCACACTACTATATTTAAGTTTTGATTTGCGGTCTAGATAAGCCAAGAAGCCCAGAGTGATCACCTCGTGATTTTAAAGGTGACTCCATCACAGGGAAAAAATCAGAGGACAAAGTTGGAAGATTGTCTTCTATAATATCTAGAGTACAAGATTTCTTAAGGAGAAAAATCTAGAAGTGCGCTATTATATTGCTAAAGACATATTGGGTGGTTGCTAACTTCCTTCAGAACTGAAACTTGAATGTTCATGCTTACAGCATGAATGAATGTTGTTCATTGCACAATGAAATGTGCCGTGTGCCTCACATAAGCGGACTGTGAGCATGTGATTAATCTCAGCATCCTCTTTGACACGAGGCAGACGATACATCATGACTGACGAGGGATCCGTTCCTTCTGGTAGTTTTAATGCAATGGGGCAAGATGATAATAGGGAAGTAAAAGAGGAAGCCAAATACACAATATATTTTTTAAAAATTGTGCCTTCTGTTTTACAGACTGTACTTTTGGTCTCGTTTGTAAGCATGAGAAAGGAAGTATGAGGTGGAGTTTGAATCAGCTTCTCTTTTCAACGTTGGTCATTACCTTAAACAAGAGTGTTTCTGTGCCTTGGTTCATCCCTCAGCAAGAAGGAGGGAGATGTGAGACAGGAGTGTGACTCGCATTTCCTGAGTGTTTGTTCTGTGCCAGCCCTGGTTCTGGGCACTTTACCTATGACATCACTGACTCAGAGTGGCATGACCAGTAGTGTTAAGGGTGGACCCTGGGAGCAGGGTCCCTGATTGGAGTCCTAGTTCAGCCATTCACTCCTGTGACTTTGGGCAAGTTATCCACTATTCCTGCCAACTCACACTCATTGAGCTTTTCCCCTGTACTAGACACTGTATCAAGTGTTTTTCTTATTTATTTATTTGGACCCTCACAACATCCTTATCATAACGTTGTACTGTCGTTATTTTGAAGACATTCAAGGTAAAGAGAAGTTAAGGGAGGGAGACTGGTGTAAAGATTAAAATCATCTGGTTCTAGAGCAACACTGCTCATGTTCACATCACAGCTAGACCACTTATTAGTTGTGTCAGTTTAGGCAAATTATTTAACCTCTCTGGAGACACATAGCGCATACTTTGAACAGTGCTGGGCACACAGGAAAAGCTTAGTGAATGTCAGCTATTATTGTAGTTTGGTGAAATGGCAGGTATCCCTGTTTGCAAAATATATTTACTGCTCGGTTTTGAGTATCCAAGAGATGGAACAGACATCTTGTCTTTAGGACTGTGATTTGAGGCCAGTCACTGTACAGCACACACAGGTATGTGTATGAGGGTATTCAGGACTGTGCATCCTCTCTCTGGTCTGTCTCTTTTCTACCAAGAACTCTTTTGGTTCCTCTTTTGGGTTGGCGTGGGGATGAGTGCGAAGGGGAGGGTACCATGCCTTTGTGATGTCTCTGAAGAGCAAACCAGGGCTGCAGTAAGGAGTGTCATTGAGTGTGTGGTTGGTCATCCCCAAGTCCAAGGCCACCAGCATTGTGACAACAGGAGTGTCTGCAACGTGTAACACACCCAGTGGAAAGAAACCTCATTAACTCAGAATTTTGTTTAGGGTACTCTTTATTTGTGATCAAAACTTTGAAGCCCAATGGTAGGGACCATAAAATAAATGAAGACATCTCTATCTTATAATACTTAGAGGATCCTTTAACTCAAGATTTGTGAACATGGCAAAAAGATTAGTTTAAAAAGATGGAAACTCTCTTGTAATGACAAATTCATGAAGTACTTATTGATCACAATAAAGTGATGAATAGGGTTTGTGTTTAAGCTCATTTTCAATACCAGTTCTTAAATTTTAAAAAGTTACCTTTAATTATCAAACTAATGAAGACTCATAAGAAAAGACAGTCAATATAAGGGCAGTTGTCTTTCTTTCTTTTTTTTTTTAATAGAACATAAAGAAATTCATTCATGCTTCTCCTTATGAATTGCTACTCTTCCTAAGACTCTTTAATTTTGAAGGAGCTGTCAGCTAGGATGGCTGTGGATGAAGAGACTTCTTCCAGGACCAGCCCAGGTCCCCTGCCACTTGGACAAATCTGAAGAGTGAGGTCCTTGGCTTGGCAACCCCTAAAGCCCATGAGCCGCTAGAGACCCACGATCAGGAATGCACTTCCCCATTTCTGTTTGACGTTGCTACTTTTTTCTTTTCCTCAGCCCACCTCTTCTCTGGGTCTGACCCTCAGCCTATTATGACTTAGGTTTGGCCCGAGAACATAGAAGAATCTTCAGATGGAGACAATAATCTTGGAAACAAAATGGCAACATCATTTGAGTGGTTTCCATGGATTTTCTTTGGAGATAGTTGATTGAGCATCTCCTAAGCCACCTGAATGGTTCAAAATGCAGAGTTCAGTATTTCCTATCTGACTAGGGTTAGGTCTTTATCGAGATCACCATGGCAATCTGTTCTGAAGTATGAAAAGGGCCTGTTTAAGGCCAGCTGTTAAAGAGAAGGCACGTACCCAGGTTTGGCACATAGACTGGTATCTGCTCCTTTCTAAAGACAGCACTTTCTGTTTCCAAAGTGAAAATAGATAAACAAATTTTATTTATTTATTTATTTTATAAATTTATTTATTTTATTTTTGGCTGCATTGGGTCTTTGTTGCTGCACATGGGCTTTCTCAAGTTGTGGCGAGCAGGGGTTACTCTTCGTTGTGGTGCAGCCTTTTCAATGTGGTGGCTTCTCTTGTGGAGCACGGGATCTAGGGCACGCAGGCTTCAGTAGTTGTGGCGCACGGGCTTAGTTGCTCTGTGGCATATGGCATCTTCCCGGACCAGGGCTCGAACCCGTGTCTCCTGTATTGGCAGGCGGATTCTTAACCACTGCACCACCAGGGAAGTCCTTTTCTGTCAAGTCAGACTATCAATCATCCAGACGTCCACAGGCCAGAACGCCGAGCGTAGACAAGTCTCTCTTCTCTCTGCCACCTAATGACACAAATGTGACATGGCAGCCACATCTGCAATGTCTCTAGGGGCAGAACAAATTTTAAATGACCTGATAAGGATAATCACATAGTGTATTGAGAAGTTAAAGAATGACTATTCCCCAGGGAGTTAAATTATTATACTTAAGTTTACCTTCACTGTATTTTCTAATGTTCAAGATTACTTTAAAGGATCCTATAAATATGAAAATAGTAAAATAAAATTATTTAAAATAGGGTGAGATTATTCCCTAAAGGTCAGAAAAAATATAAATAAAGGATTAAACTAAATGGCTTCTGGACACTGTTGGCAATGACTAGTTCGTTTCTAGTATATGGGTGCCCTGGAAGGGATGGAGCGTAAAAGAGGGTCTAGAACTGGCTCTTCCCCATCTCATCTCAGTGTTCCTGCTTCCCACCCTGTCTCCCCTACTCCTCCTGCAACAGACAGGATATCCTGGGTTTGTGGAGCATCACCTTAGCTGGAGACCCAGGGTGAGACGGGAGAGGGACCCTCCTGTTCTGTGTGAACAGCAGCTGCAGAGGAGACATCCCTGCTGCCCCTTCTCCTCCCACCAGGCTGGTGGAGACTCAAGAGAGATGATAGGCGGGGAGTGGCCTTTCCCTCCCTGGGATGAGGCTATGGTCTGCGTGCAGCTGGGGATGAGGGAGTAGGGAGAGGGGGTAGGGGGACCGCGGTCGGTCCCTTCCCCACCCTTCTCTGTGCACTGCAGGGGCCTCAACCGGCAGGTTGGTAGGACCTGGAAAAAGCTTACCTCTGTTGCTGCCTCAGGCATTCGTAGAAGCTCCATTAATAGCTCTGGTACCTTTGGCCATCCACTCTCAGAAAAGACAATGAGATTATGTGTGTCAAAGTGCAAAAAGAAATCTAAGCGCATTTACAACATTCCTCTCACCTCCCTTCTATCCTTCTGAAGATTCTTTGCTTGTTCCTTGGCTACCAGGCTTTGGGAATACTGAGTGGAGGTGCCACACTGAAGGAACGAAGGTAGAGGATAGAGCCCTCTCCCTAGGAGAGAGCACAGGAAGGAAAATTTAGGAAGGAGGAGGGGGGTGGGAGGAAATAAACAAGTCAAACATGAGAGGATATTTGTCTTTCTCTGTCTGATTTACAGATTATATTCCATTAAAAGTTATTACAAAATAATGGCTGTATTTCCCTGTGCTGTGCAATGTATCCTTGTTGCTTACCTATTTTATATATAGTAGTTTGTGTCTCTTAATCCCATGTCCCTATGTTGTCCCTCCCCTCTTCCCTCTCCTCACTGGTAACCACTATTTATTTTCTATATCTGTGATTCTATTTCTGTTCTGCATATACATTTGTTTGTATTTTTTTGGATTCCACATATGTTTTACAGTCTTTCTCTAAGGAGGCTATTTCTCCACACTGCAGTGAATTAGGACATTGCCTTAAATGAAAGGAGGAAATAAATTACAGGATGAGTACATGGGATCATGGGTGCCTATGGATGACCGCTTTCTTCAGCTGTGATGCTTGGAATAGTAATTCTATGCACTTAGCACTTAGTTCTTAGTATACTTCAGATGGAGTTTGGGAAAGACAATGCCCATCTTCTATCCAGAGATTTGCAACGCACATGAACTTCTTTCTTTTCTTTTAATATTTATTTATTTTGGCTGTGAAGGGTCTTAGTTGCGGCACGTGGGATCTTTGTTGTGGCATGCGGGATCTTTAGTTGGGGCACGCTGGCTCTTAGTTGCGGCCTGTGGACACTTAGTTGCGGCCTGTGGACACTTAGTTGCGGCATGCATGCGGGATCTAGTTCCCTGACCGGGGATCGAACCCGGGCCCCCTGCACTGGGAGCACAGAGACTTACCCACTGGACCACGAGGGAAGTCCCACACACAAACCTTTTATAATTCTGCAGTAACCACAGGTACTCAACTCAACTAGAAATCCCATTGAACTCACTTTGGGAAACAGTCTGATCCAGGAGGGACTAGACTGGTTTGTGTTGACATTGAATACATTTGAGTGAATTGAAAACCAGAATCTGTAACCAGAGTCAGAAAAAAAAAAAAAAAATCTCTGCAGGACTAAATTGCGTTACTTAGAAGATTTGCTGGATGATACTCTGCTTTTCCTTCTAATAGCTCTTTGAGTTTTTATCTGAGTTTTATTGTGATTACTTTAAGAGCGTGCTGGGTACCTTGAAAGGCTTTTTTCCCAGCCTCTGTGCTCTCCTGCTGGTTAGATGCCTCTTCCTCTAACTCAGCAGCCCCAGGGGGATTTTCCCATTTTTCAAGTAGCCTGTTCCTTCTTTCTTGCTTTCTTTACACAGAGTTTGTTTTGAACGGGTTCTCGCTCCTTCTTTCTTTACGTGTTACTGAAACCACGCAACCCAGATTGGGACTTGAACCCACTGTATTTTTTGTTGTTAAATTTTTTTTTTTAACTTTATATTTTAGGACTTTTAAAAAATTTATTTATTTATCTATTTATTTATTTTTGGCTGTGTTGGGTCTTCGTTTCTGTGCGAGGGCTTTTCTCTAGTTGCGGCAAGTGGGGGCCACTCTTCATCGCAGTGCGCGGGCCTCTCACTGTCGCGGCCTCTCTTGTTGCGGAGCATGGGCTCTAGAGCGCAGGCTCAGTAGTTGTGGCTCACGGGCCCAGTTGTTCCACGGCATGTGGGATCTTCCCAGACCAGGGCTCGAACCCGTGTCCCCTGCATTGGCAGGCAGATTCTCAACCACTGCGCCACCAGGGGAGCCCTGTTGTTGAATTTTTGAATTTTATTTTATTTTTTTTATACAGCAAGTTCTTATTAGTTATCCATTTTACACATATTAGTGTATACATGTCAATCCCAATCTCCCAGTTCATCCCACCACCACCCCCACCCCTGCCGCTTTCCCCCCTTGGTGTCCATAAGTTTGTTCTCTACATCTGTGTCTCTGTTGAACCCACTGTCTTGTAATTGTGATCACACACCTGGTCTCAGGACTTAATGAACCTCAGGTTCTTTATGTCTTGTCGCAGAAAGAATTCAGTGAGAGACAAAGTAAGAAGTGGATTTATTTAGAGAGAAATACACTCCACAGACAGAGTGTGGGCCATCTCAGAAGGTGAGAGGCCCCGAAACATAGGGTGGTTAGTTTTTACAGGCGGGGTAATTTCATAAGCTAACGAGTGGGAAGATTATTCCAACTCTATTGGGGAAGGCGTGGGGATTTCCAGGAATTGGGCCACTGCCCACGTTTTTTTGGCCTTTTATGGTCAGCCTCAGAACTGTCATGGCACTGGTAGGTGTGTCATTTCGCATATGCTAATTTATTACAATAAGTGTATAATGAGGCTCAAGGTCTACTGGAAGTCGAATCTTCCGCCATCTTGGACCTAGTTGGTTCTAACCAATATTTGTCATAGGCTATGTCTTTCTTTTAAAGGTTGTGCCTTGCCCCCTTCCCTCCTGTTTCATTATCTCGGCCTCAGGCCAATTCCAATCCACTGTGGCACTCTGCTCTGGCTTCTGGTGCCCAGCTTGGGCAGTGCCACCGTCTTCTTTAAGTTTATGGAGGGAATTTGAGATTCACTGAGGTCTCTGAGCTGTGGAATGAAGGAAGCGGTAACAGAAGGAACTAAAGCTATCTCGGAGAAACACTGCTGAACATCCAGATAGGTCCACTGGGTCTGTGGATCACAGTTTGGGTCAACTTGAGGGCACTGGAGCCACCCTATCTTCTGAAATACACTCTGTACCCTTGTAGAATGAAAGACTGAAAGCTGCCAGGGAGCCTCAGAGCTGGAAGGGCTGCAGGGAGCAGTCAGATTCCTGACTTAGAACCCAATTCACATTCACCACGGGGCAAGACATGTATTCAGAGGTGTTTTTCCCAGTTCCTCTTATTCTCTCTGTTTTTAAAAATTAATCCCTTCCTTCTGCTTAATATCTATTTATGTTTTCCTCACAAGACCACTGAATAAAATTATAGGCTTAAAGAGAGGAAATCAAAGCTTTGGAAACTCTGTGGCTGGGTCGCAACAAAGACTCTCCTTGATCAAACTCTAGTCAGTCTCCTCTGAGACAGCTTCTAGACTAAACCCCAAACTTGGTCTATAAAAATGCAGACTCCCCCCCAAACCCACACCCCACCCTGCCCCCTGGCCCACAACCCACTATGAGACTTGAACAGACACTGGCTTAGTTTCCAACAGCTCAAGGCCACATCCCGAGGGTAACTCCAGCTCCCCCTTAAAATTGCTGCTTGAAAAAGCTCAGTGTTGCCAGGAGAATTTACTGTCTGTTCCAGCCCAAACTGGGAAGAGGGAGGTAGGCTGCTGAGCCCTCCCACTGAGCAGTTACTTTAGAAAGCTTGCAATTATAAATGCTTTCTCTGCCTCTTTGAGACACGAATCTTCTACCACCCAGAATTGACTTTTCAAGGACCTGAGGGCTGTCTCTTTGAGATGCAGACATTCAAGGAGGTAAGGTCACAGTCTGCTCCCCGGCTCCTGGCTTATCTTTCCTAACTGATATCATGGCCTCCTGGAGAAGTTTGTTCCTCCTCTGTGTAAGCACCAATAGACAGCCCCAGATGGCCTAGTCATGTGGACCAACCCCCTTCCCAGCCCCCAGTGCATTTCCTGAGCACACGTCAGTCTGGAAAGGTCTCCAGCCTTTTGTTTCAGCCAAGTTGAAGTCAGTTCACACTGGACTCTTTTCCCTATTGCAGTAGTTTCTATTGAATAAAATCTACCCTTACTGCTCTAACTAGATTCCAGCTTTGTTTATCCTTGACGGTCAGGGTGTTGTTGGCATTCAGCTTCTCCTGACCTCCATGTGCCCTTGACTTATCATTCCTCCCAGGTTTTCATCTTTCTTTTTCACTGAATATTGGAAGAGCAACGGTCAGATTCTCCTGGCAGAGGATAAATCTGGTTAAGAGGATAAATCTGAAGCATAATAGAGGGTGTGTGATAGACCTTGGCTAGATTATAATCATTAGCATATTATCTGATTTCTTTCTGAATGATTGACTCAAATGTTGGGTAAGACAATAAAAATTCATTTTCTCTTTGCTGTTTCTTTTCTCCTTTCCTCAACCTTTTCTGTTCTTCCTGCTTATCCTTTTTGTAACAGGGTGTAACCAAAATATTACAGTGGAGGTCTTAAATTATATTTGATGTATGACATGAAATGCATTTTCCCGACATAGCTCTGTTATCTAAAAAACTGCATTTATGTTTTGGTGACACAACCAAGCCAAAGATCAGGAGAAGGTTGGCTTTACTAATTGCAACAGGCAAGAAGAACCCCGGGGATATTTTCCAAATCAGTGTCTCTCCGAATAGCAAAATTCGGGAAGTTTTAAGCTAAGGGGGTACATGCATATTAATGAAAGGGCTTGTCAGTTGACAGAGTCCAGGCATTCGTTGACTGAAGTGATGAGGGTCAGAAAAGGTCAATGTCGGGCTTCCCTGGTGGTGCAGTGGTTAAGAATCTGACTGCTAATGCAGGGAACGAGGGTTCGAGCCCTGCTCTGGGAAGATCCTACATCCCGTGGAGCAACTAAGCCCGTGCACCACAACTACTGAGCCTGTGCTCTAGAGCCCACGAGCCACAACTACTGAGCCACGTGGTACCTCTACTGAAGCCTACGTGCTCTAGAGCCTGTGCTCGGCAACAAGAGAAGCCACCACAATGAGAAGCCTGCGCACCGCAACTAGAGAAAGCCTGCACACAGCAAGGAAGACGCAAAACAGCCAAAAATAATAAGTTAAAATAAATAAATTAAAAAAAAAAAAAGGAAATGCCAATGTCATCATCCCTTAGGTTCCAGCTGTCCTGGTGTTTGAGCGCTTCAGGCTAATCTTTACCATTGCAACAGAACTGGGAGTCTTTACAACTGATATATTATCTTTACTATTGTTACTTGTCTTGCCTGATAACAGTCCTTTGTTTCTGCATTCTTTTGTTCCCTTAAGATCGTTAATAACTGAGACCTTTTCAAGGGCAAGCCGAGATCACAAAATGACTTAGGCCAAAAATGCCTTCTCTTCTGTCAAGAAAGCCATGCCTGGTTCTCTTTCTCCAGGGACCCCCTACCCTATCTGCTTACATCTCTACTTAGCTAGAGTAAACCTTCTGAGCTCTAACCGTCCCCTTTCCACGCCAGTTCAGGAGAATTGAAGGAAGGCCCAGGGTAGGATATTCCAAGGTCACTGCTCCACTGGAGTGTCAGTGTGACAGCTGATATTGTCAGCTGAGGCCAGAAGTGACTTAGTGAGAACCAGAATGTGGGTGGGATGACTTGACTGGACGTCTTGCCTGCCCTAGTGTGGCCCCTTGCAGAAGGGAAAGCCCAGAGTTATCTCGAGAAGCTGGAGGGGTTGGGTGAGTATCCTGTCACCCATCTGCAATTCAGTTTAGTGATTGTGGATCTCCCAGATTTCCCTGTCTATACCAACATGCCCATTCACCGCTGTGGTTGTCAAGGATAAGCTACCAGGGACTTCCCTGGTGGTGCAGTGGTTAAGAATTCGCCTGCCAATGCAGGGGACACGGGTTCAAGCCCTGGTCCATGAAGATCCCACATGCCGTGGAGCAAGTAAGCCCGTGAGCCACAACTACTGAGCCTGCACGCCACAACTACTGAAGCCCGCGCGCCTAGAGCCTGTGCTCCACAACAAGAGAAGCCATTGCAATGAGAAGCCCGTGCACTGCAAGGAAGAGTAGTCCCCGCTAGCCGCAACTAGAGAAAGCCCACGTGCATCAGTGAAGACCGAACGCAGCCCCAAAACAAATAAGTAAATTTAAAAGGAAAAAGTGACTATAAAAAAAAAAAAGGGATAAGCTACGAGATGGGCATCTCTACCAACCAGACCAGCAAAACAGAGACTGAGGAGTGTAACACCAATGACAAAATCCAAACTTCCATGTGGGACAACATTCTTCAACCACAAACCCTAAGTACCTCCAGGAAATATTGTAGGACATTTAAAGAAGTGTATAGTAAACACTTGGTAAGTGTTAACTATGTTACAGGCACTGTGTTAAACACTTTATAAACATTATCTCATTTAATCCTCTCAAGATCCTGTGTGGGTAGGTTCTGTTACTACCGTTATTTATAAAGAAGACGGACCTGGGAGAAGGTAAGTAATTTACCCAAGTGACAGAGCAAGGACTTGAACTCATGGTGTGATCCCTTCCCACCTCTCTGGTTTTATACCCTTAGGTGGGCCCTCTCTCGCTCTCTTTTTCAGAGCCCAGGTGGTCTCTTGGTCACCGCACTGAACTTCTGGCTCTTGCTCCTAAAGCCAAGTACACTTTCTTCTAGCCAAGTACACTCTCTTCTAAGACCTGAGCACATGCTGGTCCCTCGGCCTAGACTCATCTTCCCTCAGATAACACGTGGATTTCTCCCTCCCTTCACCCAGGTCTCAGTTCAAATATCAGCTTTTCGATAAGGTCTTCTTTAATTCTCCTATCTATAATGGCATCCCCAACACTTGCCAATTTTCTTTTTTTTTTTTTTTTTTTTTTGCGGTACGCAGTCCTCTCACTGTTGTGGCCTCTCCCGTTGCGGAGCACAGGCTCCGGACGTGCAGGCTCAGTGGCCATGGCTCCCGGGCCCAGCCGCTCCGCGGCAGGTGGGATCCTCCCGGACTGGGGCACGAACCTGTGTCCCCTGCATCGGCAGGCGGACTCTCAACCACTGCGCCACCAGGGAAGCCCTTAGAGATAATTTCTTCAGCCAGGACTTCTGCCCCCAGCTCCACCCTGTGACTGGCAACTTAATATCTCCACTTGGCCGTCAGTCAGCTTCCTCAAACTCCCTGAGGTTCTACCCCAAAGGGAGCTCAGATCCCGCCTTACCCCAATGTGCTGTTCCTGCAATCTGCCTCATTTCAGTTAATGGCAACCCTATTCTTCTGATCCCTTGAAGAAAAACCTTAGAGTCACTTTTCACGTCTTTCCTTTTCTCACACTTCCTACCCAAACTGTCAGCAAATCGTGCTCTCTACCTGCAGCTGATATCCTGGCTTCAACCACTTCTCACAGCCTCTACCCCTGCCTCCTGTCCTACTCACCTTTGCTTCTCACCTGGATTATTGCAAGAATCTCCTAACTGATCTCCCTGCTTCTGGCCCAAGTCTCTTTGTTCCCCCACAGAGCAGCCAAAGTGATCCTCTTAAAATATTAGTCAGATCACATCACTCGTCTGCTCAAAACCCACCAATAGGCTTCTATCTCACTTCGTAAGAGCCAGAGCCCTCCCAGTGGGCCAGTATCTCTGCACTGTCTGTGCTTCCTTACCTTTCTGACCTCCTAGATAACTGTAATAAATAACTGCAATATCTGTTGGAAGAATGAATGAATTCACAGCAAGATCTGCTCATTCATCTGTTTGTTATCTGTCTTTCTCCACCTGAATGTAAACACCATGAATGTAGAGACTTGCACGTAGTAGGTACCCAATAAATATTGATAAGATGAATGAACGTCTGACTATCTGAACTCAGGCTATCTGACTATGAAGACATCCGCTTACCCCGCTGTACACCACATCGTAGAACAGCTGGACTTCGGGGCTCTCTGGTTTTATGATACACTCCGAACCTTCCCCGCATCATCATTTTTCACTTCTCCCCAGCCATTTGACACTATATTACCCTGCTTTCCTCTCTTGAAAGAGATTTCACGGTGTTAAGTTTTCCTTCTATGCTGATGGTTACCAAACTCAGAATTTCAGGTTCCAGACCTGAGTTTTCAAACAGCTGCTGTGATGAAACCTGGTCCTTGAGAACAAAGTAAAAAAACTCTTGCCACGTGCCAGCACACAGTGTGCAGCCAATCAAAGTTAGTTCCCGTTCCTTTCTTAGGACACAGAAAAAGCGCACATCGGTTCCGCTTTACGCTGGGGTGCAGATGCGGGAGGCGGGGGACCAGGAGTGGGGTGGCTCTTCGGCCGGCAGAACATCTCCATTTTATTTTATGCCTGCCCTGTAGGCTTCACCTCACTTGCATCAACGTGCAGAATGTGGAAGTGAAAAATCTGTCTCTGGCCACCCTGCCCCCGCTTAGGCACTCCTACTTCCTTCCTCTTCGCTGTAAGATTAGGTGCTCTTCCTCCCTGGACAGGAGGCACACACACGTCTTTTGGGCATGTTCTTGAGTGTTTCAGCAGAAGCAGACTTCCAGCCACCTCCCACGAGCTCCGTGATGCAAGTCACATCACTTTTTTCCTTTTGGTAAAAATCAGTTCTTCATTTGTAGAATGGGTGCACTATTCACCCTGTCTATGTTGTGAGGTTCAAATTATATAATAGGATGCAGTAGTACTTTAAAGATATTAGGCGCATACACTTTTTATTTATGTTGAAAAAAAAGTATTCTATGAGAAAACAGAAAAGTGGTTGCCAGGGGTTGGGAGGGGGGAAATAGGGAGAAGTTGGTAAAAGGGTACAAACCTTCAGCTATCAGGTGAATAAGGTCTCAGACTGTCATATAAAGCATGGTGACTATAGTTGATAAAACTGTATTGTATAATTGAAATTTGCTAAGGAGGCAGAACTTAAATGCTCTCATCAAAGGGGAAAAAAAAGAAACAAATATGTGAGGTGATGGATATGTTAGTTAACTAGATGGAGGTATTCTTTCATAACGTATATATATATATCAAATCACCACAATGTACACTTGGACTAACAATTTTATATGTCAGTTATACTTCAATAAAGCTGAAATTTAAAACGTAATAAAATAAGAAAGTGTAGCCCTTATAGTCTATGAAATTCTTCTATAGTGTGTAAACTAGTCTTACCTCAGAAACACAAGTACAGGGCACAGTTGTTAAGAATCCGCCTGCCAATGCAGGGGACACAGGTTCGAACCCTGGTCCGGGAAGATCTCACATGCTGCAGAGCAACTAAACCTGTGAGCCACAACTACTGAGCCCCCATGCCACAACTACTGAAGCCTGCATGCCTAGAGCCCGTACTCTGCAAGAAAGAGAAGCCACCGCAATGAGAAGCCCCTGCACCACAATGAAGAGTAGCCCCCACTCGCTGCAACTAGAGAAAGCCCACGTGCAACAAAGACACAATGCAGCCAAAAATAAATAAATAAAATTTTTAAAAGAAAAAGAAACTATGAGATTAAAAAAAAGAAACACAAGTATATGCCTCTTGGAGTAAAAAGTTGCATTGCTTCCTCCACCTTGAGCCCTCCAAAGAGCATTTACTGTAATTTGAGACTTTCCCCCCCAGTATTTCTAGGACCTTTATAGAGAAAGAGGAAAGAGTAGAATTTTTTCCAATTTGAGGCCTGTTCTGAATTTTCTTCTCACAGCTCAATCTTGCTTCCATTAATTTTTAAAAGTTTTGTGGTTGTTACCAGTAAGACATAATAAAATATTTTTAAAAGATTTAATTTAAAGAAAAAAAATACCATGCATTAGTTTCCTATGGCTGCTGTAACAAATCATCACAAACTTGGTGCCTTAACATGTCACACGTTTAGTGTGGTAGTTCTGATAGTTCTGGAGGCCAGAAGTTCAGTATCAGTTTCTCTGGGCTAAAGTGAAGGTACCACAGGGCTGTGCTCCCTCTGGAGTCTCTAGAGGAGAGAATGTTTCCTTGCCTTTTGCAGTTTTTGGTGGCTGCTGGCATTTCTTGGTCCATGGCCTCTTCCTCGTTCTTCAAAGCCAGCAATTTAACATCTTCAAATCTTGCTTTTGTCATCATCACATCTCCTACTTTCTCTTCTCTGTCACATCTTTCTCTGCCTCCCTCTCAGAAGGACACTTGTGATTGCATTTACAGCCCACCTGAATGTTCCAGGATAATCTCTCCATCACAAGATATTAAATTTAATCACATCTACAAAACCCCCTTTCTCTATAAGATAATATTCACAGGATACAGGGATTATGACCTGGATTATCTTTGGGGTCATTATTCAGCCTACCACAGAAAGGATACCTTTTTTTTTTTTTTTTTTTAAGTCCAGAACTTTTAAATCAACTAGAAAACTTTTGTAAATCAACTATACTTCAATTTTTTTTAAAAGTTCAAAAAATTTTGTGCTAAATAATAATAGTAATACTTATATAGTGCATTCTATGTGCTGGACATGTTTTAAGTGTGTGTGTAACCATTTGTTTCTCACCTTAAAGATTTTTGACTCTTTTTTTTTTTGGCTGCGTTGGGTCTTTGTTGCTGCATGCGGGCTTTTCTCTAGTTGCAGCAATCAGCGATCAGGGGTTACTAACAAAGCCCGTGCGCCACAACTACTGAGCCTGTGCTCTAGAGCCCAAGAGCCACAACTACTGAAGCCCGCGTACCTAGGCCCACGCTCTGCAACAAGAGAAGCCACGGCAATGAGAAGCCCACGCACTGCAACAGAGTAGCCCCAGCTCGTCGCAGTGCAAGAGACCCTTTGGCCCACCTACATCACCCACTTCAATTTTCTACTAGTAAAAGAATTTAGTTATTCCAGTAATAGCAGTGAGATATTATTTAGAGCAACTGAGAGGGAAAGGAGAGGTGGAAGGATTGTCTGTCCATTTGTGTTTACAATAGAAGTAGAATCATTTAAATTTGAAACGCCCTGTCTACCTGTCTTAAAGTATATTTACAGGGAAGTTATAAGCCAAAAAGAAAGTTGATGCAACTGTTTAACAAACCTCAGTTAATTAGATAACCAACAATAAACTATGTGGATAGCAATGAAGCTAAACTAATGGGACTTGGTAGCTACATGAAAGAAAAAGTGTCATAATAGAAAATACAGCCATCTCAGAATAACACTGATGATAAGACGTGCTTCCTGAAAGCATCAGGAATTCCAGCCCACACTTATGGGGATGCATGGGCAAGAGGAAATTTGATACGTTAACAAGTATTACGTAGCAAGCAGCCTACTGAATTACAGTCCTTAGTACACTGTAGACTATGCTAATTTTCACTACGAACACTGATTTTATGAATACTTGGAGGCTTACTGTAACTGGGAAGTCTTGATAATAATGATAATGAAAACACATTTTTGAGCCCTTACTATATGGCAAGCACTGTGCTAAATACCACAGTGCATTAATAGGAATTATGAATCTGAAGCACAGTGAAGTTAAGTAACTTACATCAAGTTACACAGCTGAAAAATAGTGGAACTTGGTAAAGGAACGCAGGCAGCCCTTATGGATAAAAATGAAAGGCTATGGAACAATTTGGAACAATCTTTGAGAATCGTTGTTTTGGACATTTAGACCACTGCTTCTTCCAGAGCTGATATTAAAACCATAAGCACTTTTTCTGACCTCTGCTCAAGCGACTTTAGAATTGGATTATAATTACTCATTTACTCATAGATTTCCTCCATTAAGTTGTCAGATCCTGGAGATCAGAGAACTCATCTTGTTCTTTTTGTTTTCTAAGGCCCTTGCAAAAGGTCTCGCACAGAGGAATGGCTCAATACATGTCACACTCTTCCTTTAATTGTTTCACATAGTAGAGCTGACCACTATGTTTTACTTCTCTGCTGATCACAACATTTTATTTTAGTAAATCTGTTTTCAACCCTTTAGCCACGTGTCACCCTCAGGCATGGTGATAGAGTGCTGGTAAACTTACACACGATGCCTGCCCTCAACGAGTTTGCATCTAGTGGGGGAGACAGACGCTGAAGGAGCCATTAATATGATACAGTGATAAGAAAAGTAGGAATGCCATCTAAGCATACGGTAAAGGGGCAGATTCTAAAGAAAGGTCAAGAGAGACTTGTGGGGAAGTGTTTATGGTTGAACGCTGAAAGCTGAGTGGTGGTGAAGTCAGAGGGAAGAGGGATGGAGTGGTGGAGAGGTTAGAGAGAGTGTCCTAGGTGGGAGACAGTGTGTTGAAGGTGCACACATAAGAAGCACAAAACTAATACAACTTCATGAAGTTCTTCAGCTTCAGCACAAGAGGGAGAAAGGCCATGGAGAGGCTGGGGGATTAGGGAAGGGCCAGCTTTGAGAGGGACATGTGTTAAGAGTAGGACTTTATCCCAAGGCACTAGGAAAGCACTGGGGGGTATTAAACAAGGTTAACGTCTTGATAGGATTTACATCCAAAATGATTTCACTTGCTGCCGTGCAGAGAATGGCTTGTAAGAAGCAAAATGGAAGGCAGGGAGACCAGTTAGAAGTTATCGCAGAGGTCCAGGTGGTCCAGGTGATGGAGCATGGTGATGGCAAGGATGGAGAGGAGCTTCAGAAGCAAATGCCTAGGCAACCGAGAAGGTCAACCAAGCTCCTAATTAAAGTATTAGAGCAAGACTTTCTCCAACTGCCTCATTATTCTTACTTTCTGTGATCTTTGAGAGAAAAGAGTATTGGCTTAGTATTCTTCGGATTCTAAACTTCATCCTTAAGGCCAAGGGAGCAGCTTCATCTCCACAGTGAAGATGGACTGCCAGCTGTGGGTTGGGGGGTGACTGAGGGCTGAACATGGTAGTTTTCAACCAGAGCCGTGCATCCAAATCACCTGTAGGGCCCAGGGTCCCATCCCAGGTCTACTGACTCACACTCTCTAGGGTTTTTTTTAATGAAGTATAGTTGACTCACAATATTATATTCGTTTCAGAGGTGCTTTAGATACCCTTTGATTAAGAATTTTGTGTCTAGGGTGGGAAGTACTGAGGGTCTGAACAGGGCTTTTCAGAGTACTGATGTGGGAATTAACAAGAAAGTATAATTTCCAGGACTCGGCAACCAATTGCATGCGAC